AGAAGTCTCGAGATAGTGATGCCAATAGTTTGCACAGGCCCTGGGTGAGTCAGCATTGACTGGGGTGCTGACAGATGTGGCCTCAGAGAGTGACAATGTAAATGCTCAGGACTATTAGGCTGATGAACACTGGGACACATTCCAGAAGGCTTGCTATAGACACCCATGAACCAAGTGTCTCCCTAAAACTATACCCTGAAGCCTTCACCTGCAAAGCCTGAAGTGAGAGACTTGCCCCTGGGATATCCTGAGGGTAGATTCACCCATCATTAATGGGGTCATGGGCAGCTGCAGGTACCTCCAAGAAAAGGACACTAGAAATTCCCAGGAGATAAGCAAATTTAAAGCTAAGAAGGACCACAACTTTGGAGCTTTCTTTTAAAAGTCAGGTCTCAGCTGTAGGGGAATATTCAATATGGATGAAATTATCCTGGACCTGCCGGCCTCTCACACTCCCTGTGCAGGCAGAAAGGGAAGAATAGGCATGGTGGGAGGAGGATTCTCTTGGGATCAGCCTCTCTAAGACCTCCTGCTAAGCAGACCAGCAGCGTTCAGGGCACTGGAGGGCATCCTCTTCCTGACGACCAGACCTGGGGCAGGTTTCCCAGATTCTCTCCCATCAGGCAGGCTGGGTCTCCTAAGACAACAGGTGATTGCAAATCTCCCAAGGCAATCAGGGGCCAGAGTGCTGTAGACCTAGAATACCCTCAGATAACATGGAGCACATCCTTCCCCATTCCCACATGTTGGAAAACATCACTAGGAGGGTTTTAAAATACAGATATTATTATTTATAAAAGGTTGTTCATAACATGTTGACAGAATAAACTTAAAAATATATGGAATGATTCAAATAAAAGTCTCTGTGTTATGCTAAATGCCCTTCCCTCATCCTTGGTGCTACTTCCCAGAAGTAACTATTTTTAAATAATTCTGGTTTTAATTCTTCTGTACTACAGAACTAACCTATATATGTGCCTGTTTCCGGCCTTATCAACTTCTAGTAGTGTTTGTCAGTTTCTACCATGAAGGCATGTGAACTTACCTTCCCTACTTCGCAGCCCATCTGCATTTCACCTTCCAATTCTTATGAGTTACATTGACATTTTGAAACCTCTAATTTTAAGATATCTAATGGTTACATGCATAACTTTAAATAACATGCACAAATCCCTATTTCTTGATTCATCAGCTTCTGACATTATAGACCTGCTCCCTATTTTTTAAGATGAGGAAAGTAGTTCACAGCCTGTAGCTTTGACCCCCAGTCTTTCCTCCCCAAATTGTCAGCTGATTAATATCATTATCCTGGCTTGCACTCTGTTCTATAACTTTAAGTTAGTTTTCTGTACTTTGTCTATAGCTTGACTTTAAAAATTGAAAACTGGTAAAACACATTCAAAATATTAAGATGATATAAATACTAATTGCAGAAATGTGATTTTATGTTACCAAAAATATTCACCCAAGAAATGAAGGAAAAATGGACTTCCTCTACTTATGACCCTTCTAATTTGCCAAGTCATGTCACATTTCAGTTTGCTTCATCTTGTCGTGACTTCTGAATAGTTTTTTGCTTCCTTTATTCTAATAGAGTAAACATACACATTTCTTTTTATGTATAAGATTTTCCAGATTATTACACATATTTTTAAAAATCAATGTTCTTTAATCACCACCTCCTGTCTTTTCTGTCCTAATTTGGCCCAATTCCCTTCTAGACTTGTTTTACAGCTAACAACTTGAAATTTCTTTTCATTTTATTCCTGAGGCAGTTTTTCTGTTTGTTGATTTTATTTTTCCTTTTCCTGCATTATGTTCCCAAGTCGTATCAGGAAGAGTAAATAGAAGAAAATTTCTGAATCATTAGATATATTACTTTGCCTTAATTCTTGAGTAACAGTTTGCTGGCTATGAAACTTAGGTTCAAAATAATTTTTCCTTGGAACTTTAAATCTTGCCCTATTGTCTTCTAGCACCAATATTATTAATGCAAAGTGCGATGACAATCTTATGCTTTTTTTTTTTTTGGTAGGTATCCTGTTAATTCTCTCTGCAAGCTTTATGCTAGAAATTTTTAAATTTCAACAGAATAGTTCTTGGCACATGGTGCATATTTTCCATATGAAAATCTCTTAGCTTAGGGAAATTATCTTTTATTATTTATTTGATTATTCATCTTTGTTCTATCCCCTTGGATTAGTTACATATTAATAGCTTTCTAGGTCTATCCTCCATCTCAGCTTCTTTCTGATATTTTTCCTTTCTGTAATCTTCTACATGCTGAGCTTTTTTCTCAACTTTTTCTTCCAGATCACTATTTTAGTTTTCATCCATATCAGTGATGCAGTTCTATTGATTTTTAAAATTTATTTGTGAAAACAATTTTCACATTTTCAAGGCCTCTTTCACATTCTTTGCTTGCTCTTTTTTCATAGTAGCCTATTCTTACGTATGAACACAAGAGAGATTTGAGAGGATAGAGTGTTCATTTGTAAATCAATTTTTAATGTCTTCTTTATCTGCTTTTCGCATGTTTAGTTGCTCTTTCACACATTTTGGTACTTCTCTTTTATCAAATATTGGATGATCCTTGATTGATTACTCATATTTTTAATTAAAAGAAAAACATACTATATAAATATTTCCTGCTTATGAAACAGTGAACACCCAAATGCCCATCATCCAGCTTAGAAATAAAACTTTACAAATATAATTGAAACTCTTGTGACCGTTCCCCCTACTTTTCTTCATTTCAATTCTAAGCACAGCATGGCAGGGGCCCCGCAGCCCCACAGTTATGGAGGAACCACTCTGGCGGGCCTCTGTCCTGGTGTAGGGATAGGCCAAATTGGCACTTTTACCTGATGTGGGACTGGAACTATACTCACCCACATGGATGGACTAGAAAAAAATGAAGAAAGTTCCAACTGGAGTGCTAAGACGTTATCGCCACTGGTTTTGATAACTGAGAACCAGGATAGTGTTAGGGTCAGGGAGAATAGCATTTGGTCAAATATGCATTAGTCGGACTGCCTTGTGAGCCCACCCGGAGCTTCTAGATGTCCAAAAAGACACAGGAGTCAGTAAATGGCATCCAGAATGTCTG